CTTCCTTTACAGAAACCCCACTTCTGTGAAGAAAAGAAGTATCACAAATGCAGCTGCTCCTTCTGCTCGGTATAAACTTAGAGTGGCCTTGAAAACATCATCACATGCTAGTTACTGTGTGGCAGGGTAAAAGAGCAAGACATTTGTCAAAACAGAATAGCAGTGGTGTTACGATGCAGAAAGCTTTTCAAATTTATTTATGTAAAATATCTGACATTCCAGTGCATGCAGTATATTAATTTGTTAACATCTGGAATAAAACCAGATGTGGGAAATCCAATGCAAGTGCAGCACTTTGTAAGGCTGAAAGCTAGTAAGGATATCTCAGGCAAAGGGCACAGATGTTGCTAGTGCTTTCCCTACAAGGAAAAAAAGAGCTCTGGAGCTCTCACCATTCCAGCCCCAAGGTGACTGCATCGTTAGGGGAAAGGAAGTGACAGAGCACCTTTGTTCCTCAAGTTCCACTTTGTGTGATCCAAAGGTTATAGCCACTCCCCTCTGAAGCATCTGGCTCTCTTTATTATTTGTATTTGCAGTGATAGAGATGGACAGAAGGAAAAAATGGTGCATTAGGTCATGGACAGTTATAACTGTTGTATGCAACAGGACCTACAGCTGGGTTTAGGTGGCTTTATGAGAAAGTAGAACAGTGCCACACAGGATTGCCCTTCTTGGCTCAGGTGTTATTCTTGGATTGTGCCACAGTTCTGACTTTTTTATTTTACCTTATCTTTTATCCCAAAGTTTATCCCAAGCATAGATAATGCTCAAAACCTCATTTGGCTTAGGTGCATATACTGCACTTAAAGGCAATTTTAGGTAAACAGTTATCAAATACAGATATTCTACTTCATGCTTCACAAGGAAGTAACTAAACAAAATGCCAAGTGCATTAGAGTGATCAAACAGTGGAATTTCCATTATATACTGTGCCATAGTAACTAATCCTCAAATTCAAAAGCATCAAGTGACCTATTACAGGCATTCGTTTCTAATGGAGATTTAGTAAACTGTAAGTCTCTAGCATTTGCACCTGGTAAAACCTTGAGTGATAAATGTTTTATTGGTTCAGAAAGAGAATGAATATCTAGGTACAGTACTTACTATGCATGGAACATGTACTGGCTTAACTCGCTATTTATATACACAACACGGCACTGCAAAACTGCCGTGGAAATTTACTCATGTAGCAGAAAACCTGATCCCCTGTCCTTTGCCACGATGATTGATGATAATGTGAAATCTAATTTTGAATTCATGAAAAAAAAAGTTCTCACCTATCAGTAGGTATACAGAATTTTGTGGTTTGATGTATTTTAATGAACAATCAGAATCTTTTTTAAGTGTTTTGAAAAAGTGAAAATTATAGATCAGGGCTCTGAACTTAGTTTCTCTATTTATTTCTACTTCTGAGTACCTGGTCTTTTGTTCCTGGCTGTTTTTTTTTGAGCAGGGAACTACTTTTTCCTGATACAGCTGTTACCTTTACCAAATGTTTCCTGCGTTTCTCCAAGGTGACAGAACCTTTGGAGACTGCTTGTGCTAGAACAGACTGCACAAGGAAGCTGTGAATGCTCCATCTCTGGCAGTGTTCAAGGCCAGGTTGGACAGAGTCTTGGATGACATGGTTTAGTGTGTGGTATCCCTGCCAATGGCAGGGGTGTTGAAATTAAATGATTTTAAGGCCCTTTCCAACCCAAACCGTTCTATGATTCTATGACGCTCTGTAAAAGGGGCTGTGCTCTGACTGGGACCAGAAACTGTTAGGCAGGGTATCTTCAGCAGGATTGCTTTAAGGTATAGGTATAGGTATACATAGATCATAGAATCATTCAGGTTGGAATATAGTTCAGCTTTAGATTTTGTGGAGGTCAGGATGTATAGTATCAAGTGGATTGTTTGCTTTTCTGATTTGCCTGCCAGGATCCCTGACCCCATTTTAGATCATCAATTCTCTGCCTTTTCAGATGAATAAGGTAACGGATGCCTGACTGAGGTACACTGTTTAGCATTCCACAGATTAAAATATATTCCCTACCTAATGTATTTGGGATTAATTAAGAAGGCTAAGGTGATGCAGAGGTCATATCTGATAATCCAACAGACCATTCTGCCTTTAATATATTTTGAAGTAATCCAGCCTCTGATGCACCTCAGTGCTTTAAAAGGTATCGGGTGTAAGCATGACTGATGAGATAGATACTAGATTGGACAAATGCAGCATTAATTTGTGATGAGCTCTATAATATGGTTGTGCAAAAAATCAGACTGAAATATCAGCCTCCACCCACTCCACTGAACAGCATCATACTGACCTCTGATCAGCTTTTTTATGGGTCCAAGAGTGAGTACAAAATGGCAGGGTTTGTTTGCCTACAAGGATATTTTCACTTAATTTGCACTTACGCTACAACAGATGGAAAGGTAAAATACAAAGACCAGGGAGAGCTTTGTTCTTAGTTTTACTTTGGGAAACAAACTTGATGAAGGGGATTGGCGAGAGACAAGTGGGGAGAGAGAGGGAGGAAGAAAGAGAAGAGAGGGGGAGAGAGGAACCCCCAGTTTTGTCATTTATTGTGATGGAAATGTTTTAAAATACCCTTCTGACTCAAGGAAGACTTGTCTTTCACATTCATTACACAGGTGTCAAATCAAATTTGATCTGCTATGTCTAGTGTGCTGGAGCATAGTGCATATGACATTTTGTAACATAACGCAACATAAGGCAATAAATCATACTGAAAGTGAATAAAACCTCATTTGTGTGTGTGTGTGTGTGTGTGTGTGCATGAGGAGGGGAATGAACTAAATGGCACTGTGCTAATTTCCCTGTGCTTCTATCATTGTTAAGAGAACTATTTGCTTTCTCCCCTGGCTCTGCTAAAGGACCCTTTCTCAAAAACAGTTCTTGAAAGCAAGATTCTCTGTCACCTAAGCTTTGCATATATACTGTGCATCAAGGAGATCAATAACTTTCAGCAGAAAATATATGCTTGAGAGTAAAACTCAAGAAACAAGACAGACTTTCAAGTGTATCAACCCCAGAAACAGATTTACTTTCAGCTAAGTGAAAAATTAGTTAATCTGCTGTGCAGTTGTGGTTTCTGAAGTAGTACAGTAGGCAAATGAAGGTGCTGTTTGGAGATAGTTTTTCTCCCTCAGATACGTTGCTGGAGAATTTGATTGCAACTTTTGAGAAGGTTATGGTGAATAGATCTGGATTAGGTGGGAATAACAGAGATTCCTTTCCAGGAGGCCAGCAGCACTCCACTCACGTGCCTAGCAGCGTTCACAATACCATGCTCCCCAAGAAGTGTCTGCTGGCTGCACGTGGGACTCTCCCTTTCCTTTGTAAGGGAAAGCTGCCATGTCAAAGGTGGGCCGGAGTTTTAAGTGACTTTCAGACAAAACTCTTTCACTGGGTATGGGAGGAATCAGCCTTGGGAGTGCTGAGATAGCTCATAAGCACCCTACAGAAGGATTCCTTCTAGAAGTGCCATGCACTTAAATATTGCAGCATCTAAACAAACAACCCCAAGATGTGTTCCTCCTCACTTGTAGGTTCAGATGAATGCCAGATGAAAAGAAAAAGAAAATCAAGGCTTTTTCTTCAGAATTCACATAGGGACTATGTGCCAATGACATTTTATCGTCATTGTAATTCTAAATGGTTAGTTGCAAAACAGCATGGACTTAAGGGATAATATTCCATATAATCTGACTTCTGAAGTGAATATCACATATAACCTGACTGCTGGAGTTAATATTGCATATAACCTGACTGGTGAAGTTGCAAAATAAAAAGTAAATTTTAAAAAAGGGACAAAAAGAAAAGAGGTGCTGTAATTCCTCTCTGTAGTTACCCTACTATCTGTTAATATACAGAGTATGTCTCTGAGAAAGACCAGTGTGATGAAGTGGAATTACTATTTGGAAAGTGATAAAAATTGCATAAAGAAAATTCTGCATATCTAACTGTACTAAAGAGTTACTTGGAAGAACACGTTATCATTTAAGAGTACATACAATATTCTTGGGTTTAAGCAAAGAAATTATTTTTTCTATGAATTATTCATCTCCTGTACTCATCATGTAAAGGGGCAGTGACTTCTTTTATCAACAAAATACTTTTTATTGACACTCAGAACAGCATCTAATTGAACCTATTCCCCCAATTATCGTCAGAAAAGAGTTTACACTGGTGGTTTGGAAAAATGTTTTAGGAAGATTTATCAGAGCTGCAAAAAAAGCTGTCCGTGAACTAATGGAATTAGATTATCTTTGAATTCTCTCCACCAGAACTTAGAATGGCCACTAATTCCTTTCTTTGCTCTTTTGGTGTTTGCAAAGGGGTTCACTAAAGCCTGAATTGATATAATTATTGGCTTGGATTGTTAGAGATTTAGGGCAGATGGCTATGGGTTTCTAAAGTCCCATTTGCTTGTGTTAGCTTTTCTAGTTCGCCTATAGGGTTTGGGGATCAGTAATTTGAAAGGGCTGCAAACTTGTAAAACAGCATTATTCATGGGGGCAGAATGTTCATCAGCGTGACCCAGTACTAAATACATTCATTATGGGCATTTCTATTCTGCACAATTTGCCACACGGTGCAGGTTTGTGGAGAAAAAAAAAAAAAAAGAAAAAGAAAAAGAAAGAAAAAAGAGACAATGGCTTATAAAATGCTTCTGAATGCTTAAAAAGAAGGAGAGTTCACGCTGAGCCTCCTCTGCTTTCTTTTTCAGCAAGAACCTTCTAAGTGACTTTGGCTGAGCTGTGCTGAGAGTAAGGAAATTGGGGGAATCGGAGCTTTACTCTTCACATTTTTGGATATGGGGGGAATTTAAGAGAGAGAAGAGCAATAGAGGAGAGTGATGGTATGATTATGGGCAACAGCAATAAACAAATGGACAAAGAAAATGAAAAGCAGGGTGAGACTGTGGCTAAAACGCTAAACTTAAAAAAAAAACAAAAACAAACAAAAAACCCCAAACAAACAAAAAACACACACTCACACAAAAGAGGGAACAGAAATCACAGCATAAATAGATGCACTTGAACTGAGAAGAACCCACCAGGCTCTGTGACCTGGGTGCAGCCTGAAGCTCTCGTAACCATCTGCAGCATTTCTGGTGTACACAAAGTACAGGATCCACTTGGTCATAAGATTCTTGTCTTTTGTGCAGATGTGTTGCAGTGTAAACACGAAAACCATTTTTTTTAACAATAGCGGAGAGGCAAGGAACTTGCCATTGTCAAAGCACTTAGTATGTCCTGTGGCTTCTTTAAGACATTTGGCATGGAGGAGATGTACTTAGCACAAATCCTCTCTGTGAAGCATGAAGAGCTTTTTCAACTAGGATGGAAAAGATCTTCTGGAGAACCACTGGAACAGCAGAGATAGAAGCGCAGCAGCCGGCTCAGAGACAATTGCCCACACAGATACAGATACACACACATACATACACACACGGGAGGACCAAAATCGGGCAAAGGTAGCAGCAGCGCGGCGGGCGGGGGGAGCAGGGAGTGTACAGGAGTGTGCAGAATGTTACTGACTTGGAGAGGAGGAGGAGGAGGGAGAGATGTCCCTTTGCTCCACACAGGAGCACGGATGTTGAAGAGAGGCAGGTAACTAGGTAAATACGGAGCAGGAAGAGGCTCTGCCGGCATGGCTGGCGAAAGGCGGGAGGCGGCACACCTCTCCCTCTCACTCCCCCATCCCGGTTTACTAACCCAACACACTGAAAACCTCCGAGTTCGTTAAGACAACCTAAAAGTACGTAAAGGAGAAAGGGCGCGATCACATTTTTCGTGGCGGGAAGGGGAGGAATTAAACCCAGAAACCCCGCTTGAAAGTGCCCTGAAAAAGGAGGGGGGCGTTGATTTAAAGTTGCGTTTTAGTCATTTGTGTGAGTGTGCGTAAATGTGCCCCCCCTTCCCCTTCCCGGCGGCACACCGGCGACCAGCAGGGGCTGGGGGAGGAGCCGCCCCCTCCCGCTCCCATTCCCCGTTTTCCCCAACGGGTCCCTCCCGCCCTCTTCCAGGTCCCCCCCCATCCCCTTCCTCCCCCCTCCTCGGCGCGCCGGGCTGTCCCCGGGCTGATTGGCTGGACGGGGCTCAGCACACGCCGGGTAAAAGCTTTGTCTGGGGAGTTGGAGCGAAGTTGCGGAGGATTTTTAGGCTGCAGCCGGCGAGGGAGGGTGCTGAGTGCGGCGCGAGTGGGGAGGGGAGAGGAGGGAAGTAAAGAGCGGGGAGGCGCCGGGCGGGCGGTGGATCCCGCGGCGCGTCCCGCGGGCTTCCCGGCGTTCTTGGATGCTCACGGTGGAAGAGGAGCCCGCTGCCTCCACGACACGTTCCGTCCTGGAAGAGGAGCGGGGAGTCAAATGAGAACGCGTGGATTGCATACGGCTTGTACCTGGATGTCCTGGCGCGGTGTGTATATAGAAAAATATCCCAAACTTTTCTGATCTGGTGAGATATTAATCCTTGGCTGAGCAGAAAAGGCGTTTTCAAGTTTGGAAGGACCAGATGTGCGCAGGGCTTAAGGTACGGAAGGCAGCCGCGATAATTGCTTTTTAACTTGCTTGGAGAAATGAATTGCAAAAACTTACAAATGCGCCGAGTCGGCGGTAAAATGCACTTTATATTCATTTTTGCACTGATGATAATATCTTTCAATAAGGCTGTGCTGGGCAAGAATTTGAAATACAGGATTTATGAGGAGCAGAGAATCGGATCGGTAATTGCAAGACTGTCGGAGGATGTAGCTGATGTTTTATTAAAAATGCCTAACCCTTCCTCGGTGCGATTTCGAGCCATGCAAAGGGGGAATTCTCCCTTGCTTGTAGTCCGTGAGGATAACGGAGAGATCAGCATAGGAGCTAAAATTGATCGGGAGCAACTCTGCCAGAAAAACTTAAACTGCTCCATAGAGTTTGATGTGATCACTCTGCCCACTGAACATCTGCAGCTATTCCATGTTGAAGTTGAAGTGCTGGATATTAATGACAACTCTCCCCAGTTTTCCAGAGCTCTTATCCCTATCGAGATATCAGAGAGTGCAGCAGTGGGAACACGGATCCCTTTGGACAGCGCTTTTGATCCAGATGTAGGGGACAACTCACTGCACACTTACTCCCTTTCTGCAAATGATTTTTTTACTATTGAGGTGAGAACCAGGACTGATGGTGCCAAGTATGCGGAGCTGATTGTGGTTAGAGAGCTGGACCGGGAGTTGAAGTCAAGTTACGAACTCCAGCTCACTGCCTCAGATAAAGGGGTGCCTCAGAGGTCTGGCTCATCCCTCCTGAAAATAAGCATTTCTGATTCCAATGACAACAGCCCTGTTTTTGAGCAACAGTCATATGTAATCCAGCTCCTAGAAAATTCTCCGGTTGGGACTTTGCTCATAGACCTCAATGCCACTGATCCAGACGAGGGCGCTAACGGTAAAGTGGTCTACTCCTTTAGTAGTCATGTGTCTGCCAAAATTATAGAGACTTTTAATATAGATCCAGAAAAAGGACACCTAACCCTCCTGAAGCAAGTGGACTATGAAGTAACCAAATCCTATGAAATTGATGCTCAGGCTCAGGATCTGGGGCCAAATTCCATTCCAGCTCACTGCAAGATTATAATTAAAGTTGTGGACGTGAATGACAACAGACCCGAAATTAACTTAAACCTGATGTCTCCAGAGAAAGAGGAGGTAGCTTACATTTCTGAAGGGTCACCTCTGGACACTTTTGTTGCCCTGGTCAGAGTGCAAGACAAGGACTCTGGTGTGAATGGAGAGATAATTTGCAAGCTCCATGGACATGGTCACTTTAAACTCCAAAAGACTTATGAAAATAACTACTTAATCTTGACTAATGCCACTCTAGATAGGGAAAAGAGATCTGAATACAGCTTGACTGTAATAGCAGAGGACAAGGGAACGCCCAGTCTCTCCGCAGTGAAACACTTTACTGTCCAAATCAGTGATGAAAATGACAACCCACCCCGCTTCCAGACAAACAGATATGAAGTTGTTATCTTGGAAAATAACTCTCCAGGAGCGTACATTACATCAGTCACAGCCACAGACCCAGATCTAGGTGACAATGGCCAGGTGACATACACTATTTTGGAGAGCTATATTTTAGGAAGCTCTATAACCACCTATGTGACCATCGATCCCTCCAATGGAGCAATCTATGCCCTGAGAACCTTTGACCACGAGGAAGTAAATCAAATTGCCTTCATGGTTCAAGCTAGGGATGGAGGGAGTCAGCAGCTTGTTAGCAATACCACGGTGGTACTAACCATCATTGATGAAAATGACAACGCTCCTGTCATCGTGGGGCCAGCTCTACGCAACAGTACAGCAGAAATCTCAATCCCTAAAGATGCTGGAATTGGCTTTCTTGTCACCAGGATAAGGGCTACAGACAGAGACTCTGGTATGAACTCTGAACTCAGCTGCTCTATAGTAGCTGACAAGGAAAACAGCATCTTTGTGATGGATCCCAAAACCTGTGACATATCTATCAATGTGAGTGTTGAATCAGTTCCAGCAAAACAATGGGAGTTTTTTGTCATAGTCCAGGATAAGGGCAGTCCTCAGCTTAGTACAAAAGCACTTCTCAGATGTACTGTTTTTGAGTATGTCTATTCATTTGCAAGCACAGAAGCAACTTTGGTAAGCCAACCCTCCCTGGATGTCTCCATGATAACAATTATATCCTTGGGATCCATATGTGCTGTGTTGTTGGTCATTATGGTCATTTTTGCCACAAGATGTAATCGAGAAAAAAAGGACACCAGGTCCTACAACTGTCGTGTGGCAGAATCGACCTACCAGCACCACCCAAAGCGACCCTCAAGACAGATCCACAAAGGGGACATTACGTTAGTGCCAACGGTTAATGGCACTTTACCCATCAGATCTCACCACAGAGCTTCTCCATCATCATCTCCGACTCTGGAGAGGGGACAAATGAGCAGCCGGCAGAGCCACCACAGCCACCAATCTCTCAACAGCCTGGTGACAATTTCCTCTAACCACGTGCCTGAAAATTTCTCACTGGAACTCACCCATGCTACTCCTGCTGTTGAGGTAAGGTCCACACCTCCATTTGCACATCCCTTCACTCATGCCTTCACTGGAAAGCATTGAGGTACTCTGCATGCCACCTGTGAGACCACTTAGGTCTATGCCTAATGAGGATGTATGATGGATTTCTCTGTAGATGTCACAGCTTTGCAGTTTTACTCCAATACCGACTGAATCCATTACCATGGGGAGCAGGATTAAATCTATTATTTATAGATTATTGGTTCTTCCCTGTAAGGTCAAAACAATGGGGTGTAACATAGACAGTGCTTAGCTCTGGTTTACTGCTCACTCGTACTGTCTTCCTTGCCCTCCCTTTCCCTCTGTTTAAGAAAGTGCCAGAGTATTTATATAGAGAAACAATGCAGGAAACCCTTTCATTATTGGGGATAGAGAACTAAAAGGCTGAACACTGGCACAGTTTAAGTACAGCTGTTGTAATACATGGTCATAATATCTTAAACTTGAGACTACCCATCTCAGTTTTTACTGCAAATGCTCTGTAATGGCTTAAATGAGAGTTATGTCCTGGTAACTTTATATGTAGAGCAATGACATTTTGTTTTGAATTAGGATCCTGGAATGGTAAAGGGTTGATTCTGATGTATTAAAACTCTGCCTCAGTTTAATTACTTGCTAATGAAATAATTATTATGAGTTCAGAGGCTGATGAACAGCAGTGCATTTCCTCATTGTACAAAGCCTTCAGATGTTTCCTGTGGCAGACACTGTACTAGAAAATAGTCTGTTGTACTGCATTATATATGTGCGGGTATTCGACTTAATTTAACTTTAAAGGAAAAAAGAGCCAAAACCAAACCTGAGAAGCAAATTAATGTTTTTACAACTAGGAATTTGAGCTTTCATTTCAAAGAATCAGTCTTCTCACCTTTTCTTTAGCAGGTTTCCCAGCTTCTCTCAATGCTTCACCAGGGCCAGTATCAACCAAGGCCAAGTTTTAGAGGAAACAAGTATTCCAGAAGCTACAGGTAAGAATCTGGACTGTTCTGCTGTGTATGCATGTATATGCATCAGAAAACAGACCCATGTTTTTAATCAAAATGTGGAATGTAATGTATGTGAGATAATCTAATTCCATGATCCCCACAATTCTCTTCACAGATATGCCCTGCAAGATATGGATAAATTCAGCTTGAAAGACAGTGGCCGAGGTGACAGTGAAGCGGGAGACAGTGATTATGATTTGGGAAGAGAGTCTCCAATTGACAGACTTCTTGGGGAAGGATTCAGTGACCTTTTCCTTACAGATGGGAGAATTCCTGCAGGTAAGAGCACAATGGAAGCTGACCAGTGTATTTACACTGCTGCCTGGCTGTCACTTTGATAAAGCTACTACTGAGAAAGCAAAAATCCTTTAGCTTTCAAGTCCTCTGTTTCCTTCCTTTTTACTCTGCTTCATGATAAATACTGAGCTGAAACCTTCATGTATATAGTAAAATGAAACCTCAGGTACAACTGAAAATCCACCCAGAGCAATTTCTACTTTTTTCTCATATTCACATTATCATGAACTGGCACTAAATTACCTCCAAATCACGATCTGCTCCATGTCCTTAGACTTTTAATGACTAGGTGGATGTTTTTGCAGAGCCAGGCAGTTGTGGTTTGTTAAAAATATACTGAGCTATAATTTGGGAGATAATATTTTCCATGGTGGGTTTCGTTCATACAATACAAACTTCCAGCATGGATTGTGAGTAGTCTATACATATGGATGGAGACGAAAGTGTATTTTTTCCCACTGAAAAATGGACTGGAGTGGCAATGGAAGGATCTAAATATGTCCCAGATTGTAAATCTTGCAAGTCATAACTTCTAGAAGAAAGAACGTAAGAGGTACAATTCAGGGGCAGAGGGCAGAAAAACAAAAGCTGGAATAGGGGGAGTGAAAGTAAGATAAACACACATGTACATGTTCATGTGTATGAAGTACCACTTTTAAATTTATGCCCAGTTATAAGTTGAATATAATAGTCTATGGGAAATCATATTGAGTACAGGTGTGAGAATTTTGTAGTTACTTTAATAATTACACAGCCACTGGTTGAACCCTAGATCGTACACTTACTTCAGATCATGTTTAGTTTTGTCTGTGTAACTGGCAGGGCTGCGTAACTCAGTATGTCTCACTGAACCAAACTTAAAAGGTTTAGTAAAGTCATCTTATACATGAGGCACATTGCTTTTGGCTCTGTGCAGCACATAGTCCCTCCTAAAGTGTCCCCCACGTGTTGCCCAGGGCTGGAGGAGAGAAGCTGCAGAGCTGCTCCTTCCCCCTGCTACTATGGAAAACACTGGTGAGGGGTTGTGCCTGATGTTGGTGCAGTTTACCCTGAGAAATACGCTGTTAGGCCAGAGTAAACCCCAAAAGTTTAATTTGCTCTTCTTATACATTTTAGCTTTAAAATTTTCTTTGCATATTTTGCTCCAGATTTTTTATCACAAACTCAGGCATTCACCTACCTCTTCAAATTTGTCTTATTTACTCAATGTTTCAAATCTGGAGGTCTTGAAAAGTTACTGGTTTTTATTTTTTCAGAATCTTTAACCTAAATCTGGAGTCCTAATATATTTTTACATTCATTTCCCCCTGCTTTTATTACTTATTCCTCTGCCAGCTAGCATGAGGCGTGTCTCATTCTCCCCTGTGATTAGCAAGGCGGGATCTGCTGGAGCTCTCAGTTGCCAGGGGAACTTCAAGTGCAGTGGTGTTTGCACTGGCATCCAGCCCTGGTGCTGCCAAGGAAAAGCTGTCCCCTTCTCGGTGGACAGTCAGGGGCTACCCACAGGTGGGAGTGGTTTCCTCTTTGCTAGCTGGGATACCCAGGACTGGTTTTCAGCTCTTGCAGTTCTGTCTCTAAAGAGGAAGCCAAGAGCTGGGATTTCCAAAAGGGCCCAGCTAATCACATTCAAAGTAAGGAAAACTCCTGCTGAGTGCAGATAGAGCTGGGCTGGGCTATCACAGTGAGCATTTAATGTCACCTAGATGTCCGCTTGCCACTCTGCATGGTCTTAATCCATCAAGTAAGTACAGAACCATAGAATGGTTAGGGTTGGAAAGTACCTTAACATCACCCAGTTCCAACCCCCTGCCATGGGCGGGAACACCTTCCACTAGAGCAGATTGCTCAAGGCCTTGAACACTGCCAGGGATGGAGCATAATGTATGCTGAACCTGTTCAGATGAAACCTGAATTGATCTGCAGTCCAAGCAAAAAGCAAAAGAACTTCCTGGAGGTTTCCTGTTCTCCATTTTGAAATGTTTCTGCATCGTCAGTCTGGGCACAGGCAAAATGCTGTGAAAAAATCCTTTCAGTTTGTCTCTTTAAGGTGGAACTGGAAAGAAATGGAGCCAGTCCCTTGAAAGTACAAAAATACACAATCAAAAAGTTCAATAACTGCCCTTGAAAGGCTTATTTCTCTTTCTCTTTTTAAATCTCCACTAATAAGCTTTAAGTCGGGGGGGGGGTGTGTGTGTAATAATAATGTTGTTGTATATCTTTGCTTTTTATTTATTGCTGATTTAAGGACGGTCTGTGACACCATTCAATTTCCTCAAAGCATCTTTCGATCCTTTTTCAGGAATGTCAGTATTTATTATTTGATGCCAAATCCAATCCTGATAGCATCAGTAACAAAACTCACAATAAGACAACCTTCACTGCTAATGAAATGCTAAACCACTGAAAGTCTCTCATTAATTTTCAGGAGCCTTCTTAATTAGAAGAGTAATCCTCACCTTCTGCGGTGAGTTGAGAGCTCGTCCAGGCACCACGGATGACTTAGGGATTTTTTGTAAATCAGCGCACATGTGCTTTTCATACATGGGAACAAAGCACTCGAAGGCATTTCAGTTCCTTGTATCAAAACTTCAGTGACTGATATTCTCAAGGTTGCTTTGTTTGCTCAAAGCTCACTGGATCAGCAGGCCATTTGCAAGAGCTTGTGCAATATCCAGCCTGTAGCCTGAACCTGTATTCTTGAAGAAATTCTTATTCTCACATGTGAGACACAGAGAAATTTCATACTCCAAAGAACTGAAAGGACATTAGGAAAGCAAACAATATGGTAGGCTGTGTAAAGCACAGAGATAAATAACGATGACAGTATGACAGTAGGACTTAATCAATCTCTGTTATGTCCTAAGCTGAAATACAATGTTCAGTTCTGCTTACACCATCGCAAAAAGTATCTTTTGATAAACTAAGTGGATCCAGAGCCAGATGGGAAATGTGATGAGAAAGCTAGGGAAACTTACAGGGCATGACTGCACACATTTCTTATGTATTCAGTATATAAATAGAAAGAAAAACTATTCTGTGTGGCTAATTTAACTGTTAACTGATAGAAGATTAGGGCAAAAGTTTCTTATGGTCAAAATATACATAATTCAAAGAGTCTGGCATTTCTGAAAACACTCTTCTGAAGTATGTGACTCAAATTCAAGTGGCCCCTGCAGCACCTGGGTGTTTTCTAGCATGTCTGCCAAGCACCCAGGCAGTGCCCAGCCTGAGCCAAGGCCTCATGTCCTACAGAGCCAGTTCCCTTTGGAGAGGCACATAACTCTTTATGAGTCTGTCAAGTAGGGCTTTGTCTGTCTCTGCTTCCTGGGACACTTCCCAGACCTCTCCAGGTTTTTGCAGAGGATTCTTGCAGTGCCCTGCTCAGACTAGTGTAGCTCTCAGGGTTGCAGTCGCTTGTCCCACTGTGTTGCTCCTCCCGAAAGAAGCAGCTAGGAGAGTGTCTCTTGTCTTCTGCTCTTCAGTCCTCCTGGGTGGCCTGAATGGCCACCTTGTGCCAATGCTTGAGCCAGCACGGTCCAGTAACCTGAGCTACAGGGTGGCAAGTGCACCTCGGAGTAACTTTGGTATAAACACTAGAGTCACAAGGGGTGCAAGTTTAGCCCTAGGCATTTTGATACTGTATTAAAAATTAACTGATTCAGTTAAAAAGATAATATGGCAGTGGATCACTTCATATTCAACATACATTGTCAGATCAAAAGGAGGCATGTTAATGAAGAGGGAGATCCTTCTGCACATTATTGTTCTTTCTTCTGTATTTCTCCTGTCCATTTTTTCTCACTTCATTACTCTGATGCACTTCTCTTAAGTGCATGTGGCAGACTTCACTAAAACTCAAGTAAATGTTCATTTTATTTATGTATTTAATTATTTGTATGATGGAATAGCAATGTATAAGAGGGAACAAGTTGCTTTAAGTCACAAATGCTTGTTTTCCGCCTGGAACTTAACATGCTGATCTTCAGCCCTAGGTGAGAGATTGCATAACTGCCTTACATGTTCTGTATTTGTTCTCATTTTTTGAGACTGTTCAGAAATGGAAGTGCATTTAGATCCAGACTGTTTGTATTTGCCACCTTCCTTCACACAGAAAGCGAACCCAAATACTGGATTTGAACACCTTTGGAGAAGTTCAGTCGTGTTAGTGGCTGCAACTAAGCTGTATTTACAATAGGAAGGGGATGCTCACTGTCCTCTTTTCTCTCTTGCAGCGATGAGGCTGTGCACAGAGGAGTGCCGGGTTCTGGGGCACTCTGACCAGTGCTGGATGCCCCCACTGCCCTCTCCCTCCTCTGATTACAGAAGTAACATGTTCATCCCTGGGGAGGAGTTCCAGTCACCTCAGCTGCAGCAGCAGCAGCAGCAGCAGCAGGGCCTTGAGGAAGATCCACAGCCTGCTGACATGAGTGAGAAGAAGAAGAGCTTTTCAACATTTGGTAAAGACTGCCAGAGCGAGGAGGAGTCGGGGGACAACTGCACCTCCTCTCTCCTCTCTGAAATGAGCAGCGTCTTCCAGCGCCTGCTGCCTCCCTCCCTAGATGCCTACACAGAGTGCAATGAGATGGATCGCTCCAGCTCGCTGGAGCGCAGGAAGGGACATTTGCCAGCCAAGACTGTGAATTATCCACAGGGGGTGGCAGCCTGGGCAGCCAGCACACATTTCCAGAATCCTGCCAACAACGGGCCCGCTCTGGGGACTCACTCGGGTGCGCAGCCTTCCTCCAAATGGCTGCCAGCCATGGAGGAGATCCCAGAGAATTACGAAGAAGATGATTTTGACAACATGCTCAACCACCTCAGTGATGGGAAACACGAACTCATGGATGCCAGTGAGCTGGTGGCAGAAATTAACAAGCTGCTGCAAGATGTGCGGCAGAACTAATTGTTTCAAAAGCCTATTTTTCCATATTTATGGAAAACTGGAGAAAAAAAACAACAAACCCAACTAAAAGAACAAAAAAAGACTGAGAAGAACTGGCATTGCCAACTAGTTGCATTTATCATAAATGTGTCTGTGTATGTTGAATATTGAAATACTGTATTTTCATATGTACACAATGCAAGTGTGATTATCTGTATTTTAAAAATACATTTGTACCTTATATTTATGTGTAATTTAACAAATAAATTTTTATTTTTGTACGCCCACAGCAAGCATGTTTTCCTAAATGTATATAGATGGTACCACCCTTGTCAAACTTCCACCATTCTTGCCACACAGGCATGTTAAAAACAAAAACAAAAGACAAAAGGAGGGGTATTGTTTTCCCTTATTATTTCTTTTAAGTCTGAAATGTTACAAATACAAATTCAAACCACTGAAAAGTTACACAAACATTAGTTTCAATAAATGATCCAACACCTTGTTGCAATGTTTCATTCTTGTAATAAAGAGTTGTCAACTCCCATGAAACCTAAAATGTCCTTTTTATTTTGATGCTTTTGGTCTGTAAAGTTATTCTCAAATTTAATCAATGGATTATTGCAGGCTCAGGCTAGGGTCTTCCTGTGCTTTACAGGTGTTTTGCCAAGTGAACAAATCATGGTATTCAGTGATGGGACTTCCGACGTTATCTCTGAAAAAAAACCACCCAAAAAAGGGGTAGAATTTGTGCTGTTGTTGAACTGCAAAGCCAGTTGAAGTGAGTGGTGCATGCTTGGGAGACAGCATAAAATCAGCTTTTCTGACTTCAAGCTGAATTCTCAATTCATGTAAATAAAAAAATTGCAATTGACTGCTTTATCCTTGTAAGTGACACCAAAATAAAAGGAATGTTGCATCTCTCAGGAAAGCAGCTGATTATATGTTGCCTCTGTTGTACTTGCGCTTATCTTGTATTTGAACTTCCTAGACAAGAGTGACGCTGCAGGTACATTGGCTTTAGATGAGTCCCATCCTTCCACAGTGGGGCTTCTCCCTGGACTGAAGGTAGCTCAGTGAAAGTAGTAATATAAACAGTAAAAATAAAGAGTGCCCCATGGTGCTGTCACCACTTGAGGGGTGACCTAACCAGTATTTCTCAGATAAAAGTCAAATGTGGTCTCTAGGTGCTTTTTTTAAAAAAAAAAATACATTTTTGGTTGGCCTGGCATACACATATTTCTGTAATAGTAAACAAATTGATTTTAATATTGAGAAACATGGGTGGGTTTTGGACTCCTTATACTCTTTTCAGGACAATGTTAAGAGATAGCCACAAAACCTGGTATTTTAGGCTTTCAGCAGAGCTGTAGATGTATATTTTTATGTGCATTTTTTACCAGAAATGTGATAAAGTACTTAAATAATCCTAGTGAACACAAGCATAAAAACTGGCACATACTTTCATTCTGGAGAATTGCACCTGTAAAGTACTCTGTAGAAAAATCCCATTTAATGATACCTAAAAAAATCAGAATTTTGTCATGTGCATGAGCTTTACTGGTTTGCTCTGTGTGTGTAAGGAAACTTTAATGTCATAGCTGATTTCACAGTGCAGATAGTTGTTGATACCTGAATAATGGAGAGACTTTCAAATTGTTTACAGTTCAGGAGTTCATGAGTATAGCTATGCTGGTTTGAAATACCAGGACCTCAGATCTCTAACAAAGTATCTGCATTGGCAGATGAAACTATCAAAATGTCATATTGTCAATGTGGCTTAAATGTAACTAATTTAAAGGTAACTGGCTTATCAGCATTGGTACAGGAAGATCCTCTAACCGTGGAGGCTCTGCTTCTGTTTTGGAGAGTTCTTATAGCACCCTTTGAATGCCAACAAGACCTCAGTTTATTACTGAAAGGAACACGTCATGCCACAATGGGCTGAGAGAGTTGGGCTTGTTCAGCCTGCAGAAGAGAAGGCTGCAGGGAGACCTTAATGCAGCTTCCAGATCCTAAAGGGGCTGACAAGAAACCTGGAGAGGGCCCTTTTACAAGGACATGTAGTGACAGGACAAGGAGTAATGGCTTTAAACTGAAAGAGGAGAGATTTATATAAGATGTTGGAAAGTTCTTCCCTGTGAGGCACTGGCACAGGTTGCCCAGAGAAGCTGTGACTGCCCCATCCCTGGCAGTGTTCAGGGCCAGGCTGGACTGGGCTTGGAGCAGCCTGGTCTACTGGAAGTTGTCCCTGCCCATTTCAGGGAGGCTGGAACTGGATGGCCTCTAAGGTCCCTTCTAACCCAAACCATTCTATACTGATGTAATAACCACAGCTCATTTATTAAATATTTGGAAACCTCTTCCATGTTTTCCTTCTTCCTTCCCACTAACAACCTTAATGGCCACAACCAGCCTCACCTGAATACACCTACCTCCTCCCCCACCTCCAGGGTGCAGGAGCTCATTTAAGCTCAGCCTGGGGCATTCAATTGTTATCTGAGTGTTGATTCCTACTGTTGCTTCCTGGAGGGACCTGGGACTTACTTTATAGCCGTATTTCTAACTGCGTCTCCAGCTGCTGCTGACAGGAGTTCACAAACTGAACTGCTGCTGAAGTTCACAAAGGCATGGCTTTCTCCTTAGCTAGGTTGTTTCTGTCTCACTTCAGCACACTCCTTTTCAGTTTCCTTCTTTATCAGTATCCAGTTTTGGTCTGCTCCCAGGTTCCCTCACCACCATCTCATTTTCCTTCCCTCTCAGGTGGCTGACTTTGATTCACTTACCTATGCACTAATTCTGCACAGCCCATGGTTGTATTCTGGTGTTTACAAAGTATGTCCCAGTAACATTGCCCATGACTGAAATTCCCAATTGCTACCTCTTCAGCTAAGTCTGGTTAACACATTCCTCAGAATCTCTCTTGCCCTAATTTTTTCACGTGTAACCATAAGCTCCACTGGATTCCTGAATTCCCCCCCCCACAGAGCCTTTTATTGGGTGACTAGATTGGGTGGCAAGGGCTTATGTGTCCAGCTGCAGCTCCCTGCTGCTGACTGCACAGGAGTGGAATGGGAGAGGGAGATTGAGGCAGAGCCATTCCTGAGATAAAACTCATGCCCTTTTAGGGAACCAGTGATTCCAGCCTGGGCATGAGAGGTGTATGGGGGCTGGCAGTTATGTTGAATGTGTAGAAGATGGTAATTTGACCATAGCTATTGAACTTGGAAATTATTTAATTTTTCTATTGACATGGATAAAACGTTGCTATTACTATTATTTATTGCTAAATCAGCAGCTGAGAATGAAACTCCGCTTCAAGTGGTGCAAACTCCTCCTTCATAAATAATTGCACATAGATACTGCTTCCCATTTCTAGAAGAGGAAATATTAGACCTTTGGGCTCAGACTGATTTGTGCTGCCTGCAGACTTGCAGGGCAGCCTGATAAGCTCCATTTTCACAGTCACATCATCTACTAGGGATTTAAAATTCTGTTTTAAATTTAAAATCCTTAAATCAGTTTATGCCCACTGGCCTATGTCACATGGATAGTCTCAATGATTTAAAGAGCCATTGTTTGCAGAGGGGGCTTTCTAGCAAAAATAGATTGCCCTGAATTTTTCTGGTAGCACTAGGCACGAAAATGTCATAAAATACATAAGGTTTTCCTAGAGGGGATTTCTGTACCAACACAGTAATGGTATTTGGTATGTGTGCTGCTGCAAGAATCTTATCATGTAAAGAGACCAGTTATAAGACCAGTCTCCAGGAGCAAAAATGTTTACTAAGATTATATCTGAAATGCGTTGGAGTTTGAGCTGCATTTATTATTGATAGGAAGCTTGCTAAAAGATCTGTAGATTGTGGTAAACGAGGGAAAAATGCATCTTAATCCTACTGTGTTTAGAGGCCTTCTCTTCTCAGGCTTCCTTTATAAATGGGAGAAATTACATACATATATATGTGTGTGTATATATATATATATGTGTGCGTATACACATATATAAAAAACCTAACACCAAATCTTTTCTATGTCAAGAACAGGGAAAGCTAATATTACATGGATTAAAATGTAAAAAAAAAAAACACAACAAAACAACAAACAAAAACAAAACAAACAAAAATAAGTCTGGATTTTCTACATTTTGATAGCTAATAGAGGGTTAAGGATTGATGGTGTATTTTAAGCATCAAACACGAGCATGATTATCCTGCCCAGAACACTAGGCTGCTAGAACTTCTATAAATGCTTGGCAACCAAGAAGTTTCCCTCCTTGCTATCATTATGACAGAAAAGGTCATGAAAGCCAGCAAGCAATAATTATCAAAATACGGGTTATTGCTATGTGCTGGTGGTTCTGTGATTGTGACTACAGATAAAATTAGTAAGAGTTTTGAACAGATACAAAGCTTAATTAATGGATGTTCAACCACTGTCTTTCTCCAGACTTCACATAGGTTTTACTTTTTAGTCACTTCTGAAATGGCCAGACTCAAAAATGTTCTGAAATACTGATCAGAGATAGTGCATTGTTTGACTGTTTATTTAATTTGTGTTTAAAGTATTTCTATAACCACTGCATTACATTTTACTGTTTGGTGTCCATTAGGGTAAACACATTGAAAGGATGTGGAGGATGTGGCTGTCAATAATGTCTTTGTTACATTCTACACCCTGGTCGTGTTTATAGTTACTTGGTTTAGGAACAGCTATGGAAATCAAAAAAAGCTACCACAAAACATTTAACCTTTACAGTTTCCTATCTTTTTTTAAATGAAAAATTGAAATTCATAGAAAATGCCAGGAAGCTGAATTTCCTCTTCTTCTCTGCAACCTGCAGAGAATGTCAGATGTTTCCCAAGATTAGAAGAGATAAAATCCTCGATTGTCAGCTGCATATATGAAACATAAACTTTCCAAACTGCAGCACAAGCAGCTAAAGTTTGCTTGCAAGCTGTGAAAACAAGCTGGATTTGTGAAGAAAATCTTATGTTTAAATTTTGTACGGGAGGGCAACTCATGGAGGTTACTCCAAGCTGCTTTAAAGAACAAAAAGAGCTTTCTCATGTTTAGTTAGC